ATCCATCTGTCCATCCGTCCATCCATCCATCCATTCAACTATAGACCCACCCACCTACCACCCTTTCCACCATCATTTTATAGGATACTAGTTTAGTGCCTAAGGCACTTGACTGCTAACCAGAAGGCTGGTGGTTCAAACCCACCAGCCACTCCTTGGAAGGAAGGTTGGGCAATCTACTTCTGTAGTGATAACACCTCGGAAACCCAAGGAGGGGTCGCTATGAGTCGGGTCCGACTCGACGACACGTAACAACAACAACAGTTTGATAATTGGGAGCCAACACCAAGAAGACTTCTTGAATAAATTCCTTGGCCAAGAAACAAAATACTGCCTAATTTGTTTCCATGTCTGTGCTTGTAGATTGTGAGACATCATGAGTCATGTCTGAGACCATGGTCAGGGTTTCAGTCCATCTCTTCAGGACCTTCCATTTTCCATTTGGAGGTGACAGAAACATACCAAGGGCATCCAGGACTCTCCTGGCTCTGCATGACCTTGTACAAGAACCTCACTCCATTAGTCTTGGCCTTCTTCTCTGTACAGTGGGCAGCCAAGATTGTCGTGAGGGCTGATGGAGAAAAGGACTCTGCCTGATAGCTTTGTTGCATTGCCTCAAAGCGGAAGTCTCTCCTCTCTCAGACCGTGACCTACAAAGCCATGAGGTTTGGGATTAAACCCTCAAGCACTACACCATAGTTGTGAATAGCCTCAGAGGAAGCCATGGTGGCTGAGCCAGTCTGCCAGGTGCCCAGTTTCCCAGACCCCCATTCCAGGAAGGGAATTTTACAGCTTTGAGGCCTTGGTCACTGGCACTATGTGGACGGAGGCATGTCTGATGGCTTGGTGGCCGAAAGAATAGTTTGCAGCTGTCATCCCAGCATACAGTATCTGGAGGGCACAAATTGTAAAGCCCTCGACTATTAGTGCGAAGGTTGGTGGTTTAAAACCAGCCCGAGGCATCTTGGAAGACATGCCTGGGCATCTGCTTCTGGAAGGGCATGCCTTGAACCCTATGGGGTGGTTCCACTCTGCAGTGTGGGGTTGCTGGGGTGGGAGTCAACTCGATGGAAACTAATCCCCACCACGTCCCAGCAGAACCACGCATGGTGCCCTCTGTCCCTGTCAAGAGCCTTGGTTCGGACAAGGAACTGTATGGCCGTGGCACTGAGAGTCCATCCACTGGACAGGGCTGTGCGGGATGAGTAGGAGTTTGCCATATGGGTCCAGGAAGGGCATTCTAGGCAGGGCGCACTGGAGAGAGGCGTTAGCATTTTGGGGACTGACAAGTGCCTCTGTTGCTGCAGCTGGCATGTGGGTGATAGTGAGCGGCCAGAATGGCCAAGAAGCTGGCTGGAGAGGGGTGTGAGGAAGGGCAGTAGGGCCCAAGGGGTTCATCGGCCAGGCTGAGGAATTGGACATGGCTGGGAGCCCACACGGGCTGTGGGGTGAGCTGTGCCTGGGGAGGAGGGGAGAAGCTGCCAGGAGGCGGGGTCCAGGAGTGCGTCCTAAGTCCAGCTCCAGCCCCACACGGCCACTGCTGGGACTTTCTGCTCCAGAGCAGGCCCTTCATCGCTGTGAAGTGTCCGGGAGATTCCAGATCCTTCTCCTGGTGTCCGTGTTGGCCTCCCTCTGACTGTTCTGCCCCCTCCTGGCTGAGCTGCTCTGTGGCCCCTGTCTTCCTCTCAGGGTCACCTCACCCCTTACTGCCAGGTGGGAGGGGGTTCACTGGAACCCCCTTGCTGCCACCCCCAGTGCCTGTCCACTCTGTCTTCCACTATTGTATGTAGGACCCCATACAATAACCCCTGACCCTTAGCCTGAGGCCAACTGTCTCTCAAGACCTGGACTTAAGGGGTGAGCAGCCAAGTGGGCTGGGCAGTATTCCCAAGGCTCTGAGCTTTGGGAAGGGCTGCCTGGAGGGGAGGGTCTGGCTGGCTCAGAAGGACCAGGCGGGGTGCAAGCTAGGGGTGCTGCACTTCATGACTCCCGGAGCTTGGGGCGGCGGGTGCAGGGGTGGGTCCACAGCACCACCTTCTGCTATGGGGCGGGCTTCCTGTCTGCCCTGGGAAGTGACCCCCGCCACCCCCAGCAGATGGTGACGTCAGTGTCTGCGATAACAAGGCGGGAGCTGGCACCTGCCCTGCCATATCCCACTGTAAAATTCTGGCTGTCTGGCCTCGTGGGTTGGGAGGAGCTGCCCTCAGAGGGGCCTTCAGGGGGGGTGTCTGCAGGCCCCCCCTCTTCTCCACCTGGGGGGTCTGATGAAGTGCTAGGGTAGAGTGGTCACCAATGTCTACAGGGTCTGGAGCCTGGCAGCAGCACGTAGGTGCTGGGTAAATGCGGGGGTTGAATTCGTGAAGCAGGAGCGAAACTTACAAGGTGGAAAGGCAAGATGCTGTTAGGGGTGGGGACCCGACAGGGAGGTGGGGCCTGGGCCCTGTGAGGAGGGCAGGGGTGGGCTGTTCACCTCCCCTGGATGCCCAGAGTGGGGAAGGCCAGCTCTCTGCCTGGCCCCAAACCCACACCCTGCTCTGTCCTGCAGCTCCAGGCCAGCCTCAGGCAGGCCACAGGCCCTGAGGCGCCCTTCCTCAATGTCCATGCTGGGTGCCCGCTCCTGAGCTTCCTGCACGGGCTTCAAGCAGCGTCGACCAGGCAGGACCCCAGGACTCTCTCAGCAGAGACTGTGGGACCCAGGCTTGCTCTCTCACCGGTCCAGGGCTGAAGGTACAGCGAGCCAGCCTGTGGGCCAAGCAGCCTGGGTATGGACCCACCCAGCAGCCTGGCACCAGAGGCCTCTGGTACCCAGGAGCCACTCCTTCCTGGAGGGTGCTCCTGCCAGCTGGCAGGCCAGTGTGTGGCTGCTTAAGTCACAGGCAATGAAACAGTGTGGCTTGGGGGACCACAGTGGTGAATGCCATGAGCCCAGAGGACCCTGATGCACCGGGCAGCCAGTGGCCCGTTGGGCTGGGCTTGGCTCGCTGGGAGGGTGGCTGGACTCAGCGTTGACTCAGTGGAGTGGCCTCCCAGAGTCCAGGGAGCTCTTTTTTTTTTCAAGTTATATACACCCATTTATTTATTTACTTATTTATTATTGTGATTTGGGTGAAAGTTTACAGAGCAAATTCACTTTCCATACAGCAGTTCACACACACGTTGTCTCATGACATTGACCACAATTTACCCCAATGCAACAGCTCCCCTCCTACTTCCTCTCGATAGTTACCTCTTCCCAGGGAAGCTCTTGAGAAACAAGGTTGGGTGGTAGTCTCCCAGGGCTTGGCCAGGAACTCTGATAGCACAGTGGTTAAAGCATTCGGCTGCTAAGCAAAAAGTTGATGCTTCGAACCCACCAGCCACTCTGCAGGAGAAAGATGAGGCAGTGGGCTTCTGTGAAGATTGACAGCCTAGGAGACCCTGTGGTGCAGTCCCACTCTGTCCTCTAGGGGTGCTATGGGTTGGAATCGACTCCACAGCAGTGGGTGTGGTTTGGGCTTTGCTTCTCTGAAGACTGACAGCCTTGGAGACCCTGTGGGCAGTTCCACTCTGTCCTATAAGGTTGTGTTGAGTTGAGATCTACCCAATGGCAGTGGGTTTGGTTTTTTGGTCGGAGTTTGGGAGAGAGGCATGGGACAGACTCTTCCTTGGAGCATCAGGAATCAACACAGCCGACACCTGATCTCGGACTCCCGCCTCTGTGGCTGAGAGGGCATCACCTCTGCTCCTGTAAGCCACCACCTTGGGCCACCCCAGGAAGGCAGTATAGGGCTGATCTTCGTTGCCATGGACAGGACTGGGAGGGGTGGGGACGATGTCCAAGTGATGTTATGCTGACTGCAGGAGAGAGATGTCCGTGTGAGGACAGAGCTGGCTTCTGGAGAGGGCTGGGGGCAGGAGCAAGGACTCTGCCAAAGACCCCAGGTGGGGGGAGCCACGGAGAGCTGGGTGAGGCTGGAGGTGGTGGGGTGTGGGCAGATGAGCATGTAGGAGGAAGGAGGAAGATGGGGGCAGGTGGGGGGGCAGGAGGCGAGGCCTGAGCAGGTGAGAGGCTGGCAGGTCAGTGTGTCTCTGGAGGAAGGAGGAAAACAGTCCCAGTGTTTGCTGGGGCTGGTGGTGCGGTGCCCAAGGCATGTGGCTACTAACTAGGAGGTCAAAGGTTCAAACCCACCCTCCACTCCTCAGAAGGAAGGTGGACAATCTACTTCTGTAGTGACACTGCCTTGGAAACCCATGGAGGGGTTGCCATGAGTTGGGTCCGACTCGAGGCAAACAACAACAACAACATGAGTTGGCGGATTTGGTTTTGTTTTTTGGTGTTTGCTGAAGATGATCGCCTTTGATCAAACTGTGCTGCCCAGAGGGAACCCATGTGTGGCCAGACGGGTGTGGGGTGGGGGCCGGGCTTGTGATGCAGGTGACTCGTGGGCCTGTGCCTCCTACACCCAAGCCTTTCACGTCCACACCTCCCACAGCCACAGCTCCCACGCCCACACCTCTCACTCCCACACCTCCCACGTCCACACCTCTCACACCCACACCTCCCACACCCACACCTCTCACACCCACACCTCTCACACCCACACCTCCCACGCCCACACCTCCCACACCCACACCTCTCACACCCACACCTCTCACACCCACACCTCCCACACCCACACCTCTCACACCCACACCTCCCACACCCACACC